AGCTGAGCTTACTTCCTCGGGACGCTCATCCAACTCTAGGGTCTCATCCTCTTCAGTGTTTTCTTCTGCTCCAGGTGAAGACTCTTTGCTTTTCTTGGATTCCGGCTCATCAGGGTCTTTTACCTGTTCATGGACAAAAAAAAAAAAAAAAAAAAAAAAAAACGAAAGGAGTGCCTTAAAACACAAGAGCTACAGTGTTCTGGTGCCTGTCTCATTTCACTTCTCTGGAGGAACAAGTGGTTAGTATGCACTACAAATAGGAGAGGCCTACAGCATGCCTGTAGGCAACAAACACTCCATGTTCCCCCCTGTTTATCATCCATCCACGAGACTGTCTTCTCTAGCCATAAGCCAAACGGCAAGAAAGATCTGACACACTCTGGAAATCTTGTTCTGGAAGAGCTCACAGCTTCACTTAAAAGCTCAACACATAGAAAACAGATAAGTTTATCCCAAGAGCAACTTCTGGACCCCTCAGACAGCAAAGACGTTGTTGTGGCTCTGTTTCCCAGAACATCAATCAGATTTAACATGTTCCAGTCCCATCCTAGAACAAAGATAAGCAGCTGGGGAAGACTGGGAGGGGTTACAGAGGGAGTATCTTACCTCTTGGATGTACGTGATATCCCACACCCTCAGCTCACTGTCAGCGCTCCCAGTTACCAGACGCTTCTCTTGGGATATCAAAGCCATCCCCCAAACCTGTCCAGAGGCACAACATGAGGAATTGGCTCCGGGCTACTTCAATTATCATAACAACAGCAGAGCATCTTTAATTGATTGGTCTAAATAGCAACCAAGAAGAGACTGGATCTAGCCAGGACCTCCTCCAGCAACATCTGTATTGGAATTGTCACCCACTGCATGTTGATAAAAGCTTGTGAAAAGTTTGGAAGTTCCTTGGTTGCTCATCATTAAAGCTGAATGACAAGCAAAATACATCATGTTGCCAGTTTACAACTCCTGAGAGCAGGGAAAGCACAAGGTGAACCATGACATGTAATCCAAAGTCCCTCTACCTCAACAGCTCCCCACACAATCTCGTTACCTCAGTACGGTGTCCAACCAGAGTTTTGAAACAGTGCTGGCTGTCCAGATCCCACCATTTCACCAATGTGTCTTTGCCACTGGAACAAAGAAATAAAACTCAAGACACTAGGAAAGACTGACAGAACTTACATGCTTACAAAAGTGCTAGAAATAAAAAAAAACCTGAAAAATGCCACAACATATCACAGAGCAGCTGCTCAGACGTTGAATTTCACAAGCTATGTAAGAACAAAGTACAGCAATACAAAGGTAGTGCAAAAAGATATCTAGCAAGTCACTGAAAACTGCTTCCTCTGGATTCAGCTGCAAGCCAGAGTCACACATCCTCCTTTCTTGCTTATTGAGGGTGAAAACAGTAAGCACAAAGTCCTGATCAATTCTAAAGCAGCCTCTAAAACCACTCTCCATATTCTCAACCTGTGCCCTGCCTGTGCATTGACCAGGCTACAAGAAAAGCAGATTCCTTCATTTTGAACAGTGATTTGGACCTGCTCTTCCTAAGGGAGCATTACAGCTGTTTCAGTCCTTCAGAGCCCCCCTAGGATTACATCTCCCTGAAAACACAATTCTGGCTACATTAGACTACCCCAAGAGGACCCGAGAAAAGTAATTTGAACATTTATACAGATTCTTTCAGTACACCCTACTACAACAAATGCTTTTTTATTTTTGGTAACTTTGTTAGACCCTATTTTCCTCAATATGTTTCAACTAAATCAAAATATAAAACTTGTTCCATTACTAAGCTCCCTCAGGACACAAAAATTCTGATTACAAGTGATATTTATTGTTAATCCATCTCTTGTTACATAGGATCCAATCGTTAGCTGCTTGGACAAAAAAACAAAACCAAAGTAAGGAAACAAAGCTTTGCAACTCCAGAAAAACAGGGTAACATCTCTACTCCGTTCATAAAAAAAAAAAAAAAATAAAAAGAAAAAATTAAAAAAAGAGAGGAGTTCTTATCTCAATTTAGCTACTGAGAGAATTAAGAAGCATTTCTAAAGCAGACCTGCAAAGACTTGAAATTGCATAAAGAAACAGGCATCATCTACCAAACCAACAAAACACCACTTTTTCCATTTGAAACAACAAAAAAAGCACAAGAAATCTGTTCTAATTTTACAGTGGACTGATTGCATGCACTCTTCCATTAAGCTATTAGATGACATTAATACAAAAAAAAAATTATTGATTGATATTTGAGCAAGAGTATCTTCTGTCAACCGTTTGTTATTAAAGGGATACAGTCAACTAGCAGCTCATGCTCAATAACTCAAAACCAACTCAAAAGAACATCTATCATCTTTTAATTAATTCCTGTAATTACAGCTTACTAGGAATCAATTTTTCTGTCACGTTGTTGTGTGAATTACACATACAGAACGTAAGTCTGCTTAATTCTTTAAGATAAACAGCAAAAAATGGTTACATACATAATGAACATATCATCACTATTACTTGTTACAATAATTCTAAGTTGCTGTATCTACCAGCCAGTTAAACACTTTTCCAAACACTTCAGTTCTGCTTACCACATCTGGATTCAGGCACCGGACTTAAGAAACTTGTGAATGTGACAAAAATCATATTCTAAATACTGGTGGGTCCGAGACACCATGAGTCAAGAAAGAAAATACAAATAGCTCAATGTCTAAATTTCAAGTAAAACTGTAGCTGCTTTCCTCATTGACCACTACACTTTAGCCTGGCTCACCTGGTGACCAACAGGTTCTTCTCCTTCAAGAAAAGGACTTGTGTGACAGCATCCTTGTGTCCCCTCAGCCGGTACAGGCCACTCTCACTGATGACGTCCCACACGATGACATCTGTATCCTGGAACAGACAAGAGTGTCTCCAAGGGTCTGGCATCTGCCTCTGCAAAACGTTTACCTCTGCTACGAGACTGAAAATGACCACCTGAGAGCATGCTTTCTCACTTTGAATTTGAAGGTCAGGGATGATTAATACAAGTGACATTCCTTCCCCAAAGGAGCATTCAGACCAATAAATGCACCTCTGCCCTGGCTTGAGTCACTTTTTCTACTCCTGACCGCACAAGCTTCTCCACTTTAACAGCTCTACTAGTACCCCACTCCTGCCCTGCAGCCCCTGCTGCTCTCCAGCCCTGGGGTCCCCAACTCCATCGCTGCCTTGCAGCGCTGACTTCTCTCACTGCCATCCTCTGGCTATAAGCAGAGGCCACATAACCCACTTAAAACACCAAACATTTTCATGCCGGTTAGCCTTTTCACAGAGTATCTCCGTGAAAAAGTTGTCCCCCAAATGCACAAGCCTCACCTTTGAGCCAGATACCAGCCGGCCACCCAGGTGGTCATACCGCAGGGCTGTAACCGCAGCCTTGTGCCCATTGAAAGTGATAATCGCTTCTCCACTTAGGAGGCTGAAGACACGGACTGATCCATCTTCATACCCAACAGCCAAGTGCAACCCATCTGGAGAGGGGCAGAGGCAACTGACCTCCTGCTTGAGACCCTTAAGGATAAGAACCTGCAATTTTTAGGAGACAAAACGCATATAATGTCGATAAATGACATGTCAGAGGTAGGTACTTAACACAGCAGAAAGAATACACTCTGCTCCTCTACTGAACTTCTAACTGAGTGCTTCTGCCACTTTAGAAGTTCATTTTCCAGCTTCCTGCACCAAACACACTGTCATTTGCTTCATTTTACGAGGCAAACATCAGCTAGAAGTGAAGCAATTTCTCATAATCAAGCAGGAAACTGGTGCAGAATGAGGCCTGGAACTGAGAAGCCCAAATTTCTGCCCCTGCATTTTAAGTGCCAGAGAGCAAAGAACGAAGAGAGTAAAGTTTAAAAGCTTCTTCCTGACTTATCCTCTCTTGCTTTGCCTTTCTCAGGTATAGAACAGAGCTGCTTTTCCATAGGCTGCAGAAGAACTCGAGAAGGATACAAATGTCTCCAAAACAACATACCAGGAGTCACAACTCTAGTGGCAGCTAAGGCAAATCCTGAGTTGTTTGTATTTGACAGTAGCACTTACAATGATTTCAGAACCTGACAGGAGGACACACGTGGCAAAGTCCTTAAAGTTACAGCTCACAAACCCCCTATGAGATACACCTTCCACGGGGGAGACCCAGTTCCACAGACAAAACACGAGCTTCACGACCCCCGTTTCATCTGGGAATTTTCACCCAGTGCTGCTGCTCGTCGCTAGCTGAACAGGGAACGGCTTTCCAGTTGCTGCAGAAGTAATTCCATTTCCTCGACTGAGGTACCAAAGGCAAATCTCGAAGGATCAACAGTGGGACTCAGGCAAGGGTGCACCCAGAGCTGCAGACGCGCACCCCAAGCCAACCTCGAGGCGTGCTGACTACAGAAAAGGCGGGAACCTGTGGAGGTGACGCTCCCCTTAAAACGCAGCCCACCGGCCCACACAGCTTTTGCCTCAGACGGTCCAGAAGCGCCGCACCCAACCCCCTCCCAGCTCCTCATCCGCCCCCCGCCACCGCAGCCCCAGGGAGAGCCCCACTCTCGCCTTCTCTCCCTTCCGCGTGTCCCACACGAAGACGTGCTCGCAGGCCGGCACGGCCACGCAGCGGCTCCGCTCGCCGCGCAGCGCCACGAAGGCCGCGTTGCCCCTGGCGCTGGCCACCAGCCCGAAGAGCGCGGCCGGCCCATAGCGCAGGTACTGCCGGGTGAGGCCCATGGTGGCACCGGGGAAACAGCCGGGACGCGGGGGGGAAGGCGCCGAGGAAGCCCCGTCCCAAGCAGCCCGGCCTCTGCGAGCGGCCCCCACGCGCACCCGCCTCGCACACCGCCGGAGCCGGAAATGCGGCGACAGGGGCGAGGACAAGCCCCCGCCGGAAGTGAGGGAGTGAAGCCGGCGGCCGGGCAGCCCGAGGCCGGGCAGTCCGGAGCGAAACGGGGGGGGGGGGGCGGAGCTATTCCCGGAAGCGGAAGCGCGTGGCTGCCGCTCCGCTTTTTTGGGTGATGTCGCCAAACCGGCGCCGGTCGAGCCCCTCAGGCCGGGCGGGGTTGGCAGCGGCGGCGGCGGCGCGGCCCGCCCGTGAGTTGCGGCGCGGCCCCGCTGGGGGAGAGGCCGCCGTTACCGCTGGCAGGGGCGGGGAGGCGCAGGTTACCGGTAGCCCCGGGGCGGGCGGTGGGTTGCCAAGGGCGGGCGAGGCAGCGCCCTTCGCCCGGGCCGGGGCGCGGCGCCTCACCCGGCGGTTTTGGGGGCCTCGGCTCCCGCTCGCCGCGATTCGTTCCGCGTCCCGGGCCGGGCCTGGCCTGGCCTCGCCTGGCCTGGCCTGGCCTCCCCGCGGCGGCCGCCTCTGCCGCGGGAGGGCCCCGGGCAACAAATTGCGGGGGGCTTATCCACGAGGTGCTTATGTGCACCCCTCGTCTTCTGCCGGCCACTTATTCTCGTACTTGGGCCCCTATTTTTGGCTGCTTGTCAGAGGGAAGAGACTGTCGTAGCTGAGCTGTTGGCTGGAGCCTCTCTAACTGCTCTTACCTTCTCATTCGTTGCCTTTCTGCTAGCTCTTTGTGGCAAAAATCTTATTTAGCTATTCTTTGTCCTAGTGTCGGCCCTTATTACCCCTCAGTTTGGTTTTGGGCGAGTTGGGATTTTTCCCCTAGCTAATGAGTATACTTTATGACTCACGTTTCAGAGTTACTGCTTCTGGATGCTATCTTTTCAAAGTTCTCAATTATGAACCTGTGAAAAGGGTTAAATAGGAGGGGTGTGTGTGGCAAACTGAAGTTACTTATGTGAATACGTTTGTGGTAGCTTAATTCACTAGTATAGTTTAGTTGTTACAATGAAAATGTAGTAGCCTAGGTGTTACATAGGTGCTGGCAATTGAAAAGTATGTTTCTATGAGTTTAAGCCTTAATCTAGCCAGGGTCTTCTCAGTCTTTTTTTTTTTTTTTTAAAAAAAAAAAAGTCAGATGGTTGAGTTCAGTTTGTAGGTTCATTGGGCCACCATTCAAATTTATGACTTCTCTGGCTTTCTTGCAAAGCCTGTTTGGCTGAAGGGGTTTTGTGCCTAAGTTGTCTTTGTGGTGTTCAGAATTCACTGAACAAAAAGGAGTTGTATGATTTGGGGGGAGGGAGGATGTTTTCATTGGTTTGCTTGTAAGGGTTTTATTGCATTCAAGGTTTTTGGGGGTTGTAGTGGTTTGGGAGGTTGTCTGTTTTCTTTTGGTCTTTTTTTTTTTAAGTATGACCCAGGGCTAGACCAAAATTTCTGAAGGGCTACATTATACATACCCTGCTACAAATTTCCTTTTATTTAGATAAAGAAATAATATTTTTTTGAAAGGGCAAGGTCCTTTCTATGCTTGGGAATTTGTTTTCAGCATTTTCAAAATGCAAGATCCACAAGCCAGTTGGACCAATTTAATAGAGAAGGTGTTTTCGTCTTGTGCTATTGGAGAATGTTTGTCTTACTGCAAGTATTTGCATTGCCTTTTTGCATACAGATGACAAAACAGAAAGAGGGAGCAGTTGAATTGGAAATCTGGTTTTCTGTTTTCTGCTAGCTGTAATTGCACTGCAGTCTTGTGAAAGGTCTGGCTCTGCAGGAATTACTTTTAGTGAACAGCTAGTAATCTGATTTGATTCTCTTCCTTTAAAGCACCTGGAAGACTCCACTGAGAATTGGAGTGTGACAAGTTAGCAGAGGAAAGAAGTTATTGTTTCCATTCCATGGATCCCTTGGGTGCTCCTTCCCAATTTGTGGATGTTGAGAGCCTGCCAGGCTGGACTGATGCCTATGAGGCTAAGCAGCTGGACTCTCATCAAAAGTCTGTTGAAAAAGTGCAAGTTGATGTTAGATCACCTTTTCCATACAGGAAGGACATCAATGCAAAAATAATCTTATGGTAAGTTCCATGTGGCTCTGGTGTGTTTGTCATCACTTCTCCATTTACTGCAGAATCTGGTTGCCTCATATAATCACTGCTGTAGGATGAAGCCTTTAAACCCTCTTTTCTTGAACCAAACATTACAGATCCGTGAAGAAAATAATCTTTTTATTCCCTGTAAATCTGCAAGTCTGAGGTCTTACTCCATCATAAATTATAAATTGCATGTTGACAGGCATTTCTTGATGCAGCAGACTGGAACTGTACTTCCTACTGGCATGCTATATGCTTAAAATCAAAACCTAATTGGGCACTTTTAAAAATTTTAAAAATTGTGTCAAAAATATACTTGCTGTCTACTAGCTTTTTTCTTTCTTGCTGGCTTTATTATGCTTTCACTTTTCTGGTTTAGATCAGTATGTCTTTCCTTCATGTGGTTCTTGTGGCTTGCTTTGGGTTCTTCCCATGCTCCCACCATTCTGTGTTCTGTTTCCAAAATCTATCGGTAAAGTACAGTGTGCCGGGGTGAATTTACTCTATCGGTTTTTCTTTCCTGTAACTTAGATGCTTGAAGCTGCTCTCTAGATGAGTAACTCTTTGTTAATCAATGTGAAGAGAGAAGGATTTCTTAGGGACACGGATTCAGGGATCAGCCTGAACCTCTTTCTGGTTAATACATGCAGGAAATTGGACTGTTCATGGATTTCCTGAACCTGACTAAATAAAGAGAGAAGTAAAAGGTTAAACATCTCACGTGGCTGGGGCATGGGTGTGATAAATGTGTGCAATTTCAACTGTTATTTGAATGTCTCCCTGTGCATGGGAATCTTTATTTCCTTTCGTATGCTCTTTGATCCCCCAATCTCTAATGGCTCCTGCTGTGACAAAAAGCAGGTCAGAGTTCTGTTGCTTCATTGTCTTTTATGCATCTCTGCTTTGTTTATGTTCTGCGTGTCTGATTCTTGAATGACAGAATAAACATGACCACATTGTGGGTTCACAATTTTGGAACAAAAACAATGAAAACTTGTCTAGCTGCAGTGTCACTCTACATCCTCAGTGGTCTTAGGAATAGCAGCAGTAGTAAGGTACCCTGGATAGTGTGTACGCAAACCAAAAGAAGTATATTGAAAAAATTGTTGAAGTTTTGAAAGTAACATACCACAAGGACTGTCATCTTATCTCCAAGAGAGAATACATGTTTTTTTAGAACACATTGCACTCCATCAGTTTAGCATACCGCTTTGCATGTTCTGCTAGTTAAACTGCCCTATGTACAACTACAACATGGTCTTTTCTACATACATCACTAAATTACTGTTGAGGCTGGGAGTTCAAGGGAACAACAGGGTGCATGCAATCTTTCCTCATCAGTTAGAGGCAAAGGATGACTCTGCATGGTTGGTATGTCAGGGTACACTACGCTATGTGGGCACTGGAGTACTGTTAATGCTTTTCCTTTATCTTGGCGTTTCCTTGCTTGTCAGCACTTATTTGAGAATATCCTGCTTAATCTTACATTTAGCCTGCAATGGACTGTTTCCTTGTTTCATCAGGAAAGGAGATGTAGCGTTACTGAACTGCACAGCCATAGTAAATACCAGTAATGAGTCTCTCACTGATAAGAATCCGGTATCTGAAAGTATATTCATGCATGCTGGGCCTGACCTGAGGGATGAACTCCAGAAGCTCAAAGGTATGTGGCTGGAGACTTTTTTATCTTACTGAAATCTACTGTCCTTGCATAGTACAAAGCATCAGGATTTGGGCATAAACTAAAATAAAGGTATAGCTTTTTATTTTCACCCCAGCATTTAGTGTTAGTGTGAAATCAATTGAGGAAGCACGTGTCAATCTAGTCTCTTCTGTTTGCCATTCAGGTTGCAGACTACTGCAAATCTGCAGAGGGTATTCAAGTTGCTGAGCTCTTACTTTGTGATACAATAATTCCTGTTGTCATCTGAAGCCACTTAGAGTAGTTAGCTTATCAGAGCTTTTACTCAAGGGGCCAGTCTTGTTACATCTTCCAATTTTTGCTCTTATCCTGTTCAGTGTGTATAGTGTGTGGAAGACAGGATCTGAAGTTCACCATTGCAGGAATTAAGTGGGTTCTAATGTACACTTTGTGTATCCTTTCAGGCTATTAATATACATACGCAGTCTTTCAGGAAACTATGGCAATAATAGATGGATTGATAAAACATGGCATGTCTAAATACAGTCTTGGTGACTAAAACTGTTCAGTTATTTGCCTCTTCTGCACAACAAAAGGCTCTATTAGAAAGTTGAAAGACCATCCCTAATGGAAAGCTCTTCTGGAAATAGATGAGCTTTGCTTTACCTAGATTCTTTATCAGCCATAAGCCCTGTTAATAAAGAAATTTACAGATGCTCAGCTTTATCTCCAGTCCCTGTTAGATTAAGACTTTCCTTATTTTGTGTGTGAGGAACAAAGAGTTCATAGTTATCCAGGGTAATACAGAAGTCTGATACAGTTTGCAGTTAAGAATTCACGTTTCCAGTAACTATGATACTGAGCTGAATTTTGAGACCAAACTGATCCCTGAGTAGTTCTACTTGCTCTCTTGGGTAACAGCTCTATCTCCTTATTGTGTAGTAACAAAATGGATATAAAAGCCGTAATATTTCTAATACAAACATTCAGTAGCTTAAACTATAATTGAATACACATCCTCTGTTTTCATAAAATAATGTTTTGTGGATTCAGGTTGCTTTTTGTGAGTAGCCTGGACCTAAAACAAGAGGAGGTGTGACCATTTCAGAGGAGAGGGAGAAGTCAGTGTGTCCTTTAAGTGGAAACAACTGTTAAAATACAGCAGATGTTACAGAATAGTTAGGACACTGCTATGTATGCCAGAACTCTTCTAAAATAAACTCGGGTTTCTTATGTGCACTGTGAGGTTGGAAGAGAGGGACAATCTTTCAAGGAGTCCTTAAAATTTAAGGTCAGTCAGCTCTGTAGGGAGTTATTTGTAAAAGTCGGGCTTATCTTCTTAAATTCCCCTTTACCATGCTGAGTTATGTAGTTTTGCATCCTCAACCCTTGTGATGACAGTGATGTCTTCTTTCTGTAACGTATTCTGCAAGTTCATGTCTCCCAACTCATGACGGTTTCCTTTTCATCTTGTGACAATAGCTTTTCAGAAATGAGTTCTGTGACACTCTACGGGTGTGTTGCGTGGGGGAGGGAAGAGAGGCCAGGTTATGGTTTTGGCTTTTGCGCACCCTTAATGTGTTTGTCGTGGTAGCAGAAGTGGAAGGGAGCTTGGTTAAGAGGTTAGTTTATGATTATTTTGTCACCTCTGCTGCCTTTTTGTGCTCCTTCCCATTTAACTTTGAACTTTTTTTATAGGAGAATGTTGGGAAGAAGTCAAAATGTATGGTCTTTGTTCTAAAGCAGTAAATGGGTGCAGTGGTGATTTTTCAGTTAGTTTTCCTGCTTTATTCCTACTGTTTGTTATGTATTTGTATTTCTTAGACTCCAAGAAAAATCAGGATCTTAAAGCATGTGGCATGCTGACCTTTCAAAGGCCTGCACTTTCTTTCAGGCTCAGTTAACTTGTGCGTTTCTGGGAACAGTGTGTAGTTATTAACACAGAAATACCTACAGATAAGGGTCCAGGCTTGCAAATGAAGTGCTATTGATATATGCTTGCCTATCGACACATACTTGTTGCAGTCTAATAAAGACCTTCTGTAACAGCAGTGCATAGCAGTCTTCCAAATCCATTGAGACTTTTTGTCTGCTGCACACTTTATATGGAGGATTCAGACTTTCCATTTTAAACTTGGGGAGAAGCTGTTCTAATGTTTGAAATCCCATCAGATAAAAAAAATAAGATCTTGACTTTTGTTCCCAGTTCTGCTACAGGCCTTGGCCTGTGAAGTTCACTCTACTAGCTCACCTCACCCTTTATCTTAAAATAGTAATAATACTTGCTGCTTCATTTCAGTTTTATAAATTTTGTAGAGGTCTCCAGGCAGAAGGCATTGGGAAGTACTAAGTGTAGTTAGAGATTACTGGTGCTACATATGGTTGTCTGAATTTATTAGTTTCCTTATTGAATTCACAACTACCTCTGTCAAACTTGCTTCATTCTTTTTCACAAGAGAGCTTTACAAGAGTAGGCCTTTGCTGCTTCTTTTCAAGTTGTGTGACTTGGATGGACAATGAAATAAGAATAGTAACTTGATATCTGATGCATTGTTTTGATTTTAGTTTCCACTTTTTCCATACTGTGCTTATTTAGTTGCTCTCTTGAGCTGAGGTGCCTTAGAGAATGTGCAGTAATTGAGAAGAGTATACTTAGTTGAGTAGCCCAAACAAAAAAAGGTGGAGGTCTATAGAAGATAATGATGTGATTTATTGGATAAAAAAAGTTTACAATACATTGTTGCAACATGTTGTTGCCATTAAAAAGACATGCTTAAAGTTTTGAGTAAGAGGGATTCTCATCCTAGAATGTCTCTTGCCATAAAAATATGCTTTCATGCATGCTGACAGCCTGCCTGAGCACCACAGAGTGGAGTGGGAGAGGAGAACGATCCTATCCAGTGGGCAGCTTTCTGATTGACTTAAGCTAAGCTACTAACATGCTGCTGCCAGAACAGTGGTTGCAGCTGCTTGTTCACCTCTCATTCCTTGTTGTGGATGCTAGCAACCTATAAGATCAGGTTGAAAGCTAATCCAGTGAAAATACTAGTTTTCGGACAGATAAGAAAGCTGAAGTGCAGCTGTACAAACAGAAGGAAGAAGGTGGAAAATGCTTGTCTTTGAGGGTAGGGAAAGAGTAGAAGTGCTACTTATTCCCCTCCAGTTCAGGATGGATTAGATTTGGGTGAAGAAGGGGAAAGCTAGCAAGCTTTTCTGGGTGCTGACATCAAACACAGTAGCTGTCCCTGGATTTTTCGTTATCAAAAATGTATTGACTGAAGCAAATAGAGATGTCTATGGATATCATTGAGTGTTCTGACAAACTGATTTCCCTTGCAAAAAATTACAGGAGTTAAGTATAAGTAACTTGCCAGGGATAGCCAAAGAGCAGTCAAACACAAAAAGTGGAAAAGATGTGAAGTATGCTAGCATGCAGTAAATGATCCTAGAGTATGTAACTGTAGGGTGCTGTGAAAGGAACAATGAGATGTGTTGCTTGAACTTCCTTGCCTTGAGACTAGACATCTAGTCAATCAAGAAAGTGTGATCTCCATGGGGATTGTACTTCTGCCTTGTGGACACGAAGAAACTTGCAAAACAAAGCAGGCCACCTTGTTCTGGGAGCATAGATGAAACAAATGCTTGATCTATTCATTTTTAATAGCTTTGCCAACAGCTGGTGGGTTTGATTAAGGAGACTTGTAGTCCTTTTATCCAACAGCAATCTCCCCAAACCAAGTTGTTAAATTCAAAAGGACTTTTTATTGCTGGTTGTATAGCATATTTGTGCATCAGTTCTTTGCACATTAAGTCATTTCTCCTTTTGACTCTGTATGAAACATAATAAGCGCTGCAATTTAGACAGCATTTCTAGCAGTTCCTGGTTTGTCCTTATGTGCATGGTTTTAAAATTGAGAGGAATGAGCACAGCTCACACCACCTCAACCTGACTGTGATACTAAGCAGCTGTTATGAGAGAATGCTATCCTTAATATTTGATGTCTAAAATACTGGCTTCTATATATGGAGTTGTCTCACTGGAGGAATTCAAGGTCTTGAATGCTTCTAGCTTTCGTGTTATGACATTGGCATTTATCCTGGTGTTTATTTTTTTCAGGCTGCAGGACAGGCGAGGCTAAACTCACCAAAGGATTTAATTTGGCTGCACGTTTCATCATTCATACAGTGGGACCGAAATACAAAAGCCGGTATCGCACAGCAGCCGAGAGTTCTCTGTACAGCTGCTACCGCAACGTTCTGCAGCTCGCAAAGTAAGCACACAACAACTTGCATGAGGGCTTGCCATCCGTGACTCAGGTCTGCACAGAGGCCAAATGACTGAGAATATCTTCTCATGTATACTGGATTTGGTTAAGGACATGAGAACATTAGTGGCTTCTTGGTGTACTTCATGCCTTTTGTTATCTGTGTTGCAGTGTAGATAAAACGTGCAGAGGTCTGAGCTGGTTCAAGTCCTGAAACAATGTAGCTAGAGTTGTGTAGCATTCAGTTACTCTGAGGAGAAGCAGTCTTGATGATGGCTTTGGGTTCTGTGCTGTGAAAAGCTTGACATGAGCTTGCTCAAGCAACAGCTTCATGTCTCTGCAGCCACATGGACATACCCACAGGCAGATCTGGCTGTTGTATCAGTTCATATATTTGGCCTCTCTGCCTTTGTACAACAGCCAGCTAAAATTCTGAGTCAGTGTTCAACTTTATTTCTAAATCCATGGTTGCTGCAGATGGGTTTGTAGTGTTTCCTCTTTCATCTGTGGTGTTTTCTACTTCCTCTTGACTAACGGGCTTTTTTCTTTCTATTTTTCTGTGTTCTTTCCTGTATTCTGCTGTTCTCCTGTGACAGCTGTTGTAATCATAGCAGTCACAAAAAATACCTGAACAAGAGCAATGTTAGAAAATATACTCAACGATTTCTTAGGGCTGGGAAGATCAGTTCTTCCATGTCTGGACTGTGCATTACAGTGCAGTGGTAACTCTTTCATAATCATGATTACAACTAAGGTCTCTAGTACATGCTAGTTTTGTTCTGCCTCAGAAGTAGCAAGCAAAGTCAGGCCTAGATTGAATCATGTTAAAAACAATTTAAAAATTCTAATAATTCTGCTTACTGAATTCTGAATGCCTTTTAGTCAATCTATTCTCTAGAGTAACTTTTGATACTTGTGAAATTGTCTACCAACTATGAGCTTGCTCAAACTGCTCTGATGACTGTTGGCAGCACCTCTGCTTTACTCTTCTAAAAAGAAGGAGGTGCTCTGCTGGAAGCATCTTACTGATCTTAAAGTATGTATCACTCCATGCCAATGATCATCTAATCATACCTAGGATTGAGTAAGCTACCTTGATCTGTGTCCAGACCTCTAACAAAACAAATGATAGGTCAGGTGGAGGAACAGGAGAATGTTTGTGATAGACCATCTTCTTTTCCCAGCCTCATCACTGTCCATCCTATACTGGAAGGAAAGTATTTTGGAAAGGATTGCAGGGAGCTTGAGGGAAGAACTTCTTCATTCAGGATGTGAGAAACTGCAGGAACAGCATAGCTGAGGTAGAAGGGGAGAAATCGGAGAACAAGCACAAGAGGAAACTGTGGAATCAATGGTTCACTCCTGTGCTTACTGGTGGCATGTATACATCTTCCCAGGAAAGAATCCTTCTGCAAAAACCTGAAAGAGGGTTGCTGTTGCACAGAGTCAGGAAAAAAAGTGTTGGTCTTATCTACTGTGCTGACAGACGTTTGATCTCATCTGATCATCTCTTCATTTGTTTCTCTTCTTTTTTGAATTTCAGAGAACAGGCAATGTGTTCCGTAGGATTTTGTGTCATTAACTCTCTGAAAAGATGCTACCCTTTGGAGGATGCAACCCACATAGCACTGCGTAAGTTTCTTGGTTGAAGTGACGTAAACTGAATGGCAGTATTCAGCAGATCACTTACCTCTGACAGACTGCTGTTGATGTGAGGGAAATCTTTTTTTTTAGGGGACTAGTTTGTTAGAGGCTGTAAAAAGGCAAGGCCTTCCGTGGTTGATCGGGAAATGAAGGATAAAAACATTATCCTTTATCTATTGAGAGGTCATCTGCAAAGATCTGTGGGAATCTACTGTAACTTCGAGTCTTCAATATATTAATAACGTGGAAAAGAGGCTGAACGGTGAGGTGAGGGAGTTTGCTGGTAATAGAAAATTGTTCAGAATAGCAAAGATGGGCCTTACTGTTAAACAGCTGTAGACAGAGCTCACCAACAGAATTAATTTCTTCTGCCATTTTAATGTCATCATCATATCCAAATGTAAAGTGATATTCTTCCCCCACTGACCCACTCCTATATGCTATATATATCCTAATCCTAGAGAGCAAAATATCAAGATGTATGTTCCATAAAAACAGCAGCTCACTGGGGTTCAAAACAGCAAGCTGGGTAAGAGACAACAGAAGAATGTTATTCTATAATTCTGTATTTTGTCCATCCTTTAAAGTTGCACATTCAAAAAGAATACAGTAGAACTAGAAGTTGAGGAGGCCAACGAGTAGGGAAAGGCAAGAAGTAGCCAAGTAAGATAAAGTCTTTTCCAGATTGGGATGTGCTAAATTTGAGTGTGGATGCCTATGCTACTCATGAGTTTATAGACATAAAAATGGTGAATAGGAGTCAGTTGTTCACTGTCTCCCGAAGTGAGAGCATTCAAACAATGCTAGTATGAATTGGGTTCAGAAAAACAAGGGGAAATGGTTCTTATACTTACATTATTTGTTTTATGAAATTTATTACCAAAAAGCATTGTAGATGCTAAAAGTTTTTTAACTTGTTTGGGTTCAAGATGAAACTATATTAAAGAAAGAAATGAAGGCTACTAAAAACAAATCAGAAAATTTCCTAGACTGAAAATACATAAATAATAGAGAAGCATTCAGAGAAGAATATTATATACTTACTTGGTTCTTACTTTTCCCTTTTCTCTTTTGAATTTTTCATTTTGATTGGCCTGCTCCTGTCTGCTTTCCACCACCACCAGCCAGTCCCTGGACCTTCCTGCATGGTACTTCTGCACAATAGGAAAGTTGTTGCAGATGGAAAGAGTGGGTTTTCCTCTTGCTGTGCAAGCTGACTGGAGAAATCTTTGTTACCCTCTGTTTAGTGCAGGTGCTGACACTGGAGAAACAGATTAGTCCATTGTTTTCTCTGCCATCTACCTGTTGAGTGAGACATCTGAAAACATCTGCTCACATAAGTTCAGAAAGCTGCTGTGGCACCACACAACCACGTGACCCGTAAAGCAGTGTTGCAGGTCAACCCAATTACACATGAATTTCTGTACAGGAAGTATTTGAAAATAGCTCTTTGCCCCCGCTCTGCTGTTTCTTGAAGAACTCATGCTCATGTAGTCTCTGTAGAGTAGACTTCTTTTATTGCACCTCTTCTATTGTCTCTGTAGGCCTATATGCTACTCGATAAAATACTGCTAGACCAGCCCATTTGGATGTTTTCTCTCTTGGCAGTCTGACAGGAAAGCACTTGTAAATCCTGACGTGTGTCAAGATTATTGCAGCTCAAGGACCTCATCTGTACGAGTATATGTCTGACTGGGAGCTTGGTTACAAACGTTTGGTTTTTTTTTTTTCCTTCAGCTGCAAATGCCTAGGAACTTGGCTGTGTCCCTGGATTATGCAAAAGATTTGAGGAGGCCAAAAAAAAAAAGTAGCAGAGGAAATAATTTATCTCATGATTTACAAATACAATTTTTATATCCCTTTTTGGCATAGGTGACCCCAGAGGTTGTATGTGGCTGACTCTGTCTTGTGCCAGCTTCTGCAGCAGCTTGCTTATCTTGCTTTCCTGATAACTTAGGGCACAATGACTTGTTCTAGGAATGTCTGGTTTTGGCGATTTTTCACAGAACTCCATAAAAGAAGAATGTGGCTTAATTTTTCAGGGCCACAGAATCACATTCCACAGACTGAGGAATACCTAGTAAGCTAAAATCAGAGAGACTTTTTTCCTCTTTTTGTATCCATCTCTAAAGTGAGCAGCAGGAGACAGTGGAGATGGAACTTCCAATATGGCCAACAGCCCATCTGGTGCGTCAAACTATCACTTAATCCACACTTGCATACAGCCTACAGAGCTATTTTTTTGTATGAGGAGAGAGATGTGTGTCTCTATTCTGCACTCTGACTTCCTCACTTGTAGTTGTGTGTGTAAATTTGTCATCCGCTTTTGCTAACTACATTTAATCTTCCTTGCAGGCACAGTTAGAAGGTTCCTGGAGATTCATGGAGAGACTTTGGAGAAGGTGGTGTTTGCAGTCTCTGAGCTTGAAGAGGTATCTTCTTGATGTTCATTCCACCAAAATTCAATGTTTCATCTTCTCTGCAGCAGTATTAACTATTGCACTGTAGAGTTGGATTCAGATTTCCCCTTCAAATCACATAGACTTTTGGTCCCACAGAATTCTTCTGTCTCCTACTAGCATACGATCTTTTCCAGTACTGTTCATGCTCATAGCAGTCACTATGGGCATGTTTAGGATCCTTCCACTTCTGGCTTCCGTGTTCCTGAGACACAAACAGGAATTGATATTAGAGGCTATAGCATGCAGTTGTGCTGGACGGTATCTGCCAGCAACAAAGGAAATGCCTCATACAAGATTTCCTCCTAAAGCAATGCTGCTTCCCTTGTGCTTTAAAAAAGCTAGTTTAGCATGCCCATAAATCACCTGCAAACATCTTAAACATTGCTTGCTGGCTTGTTGAAATAACAAACTTGACGTTTAATGATCTGTGTTCAGGCAGATGCTAGCAGTTTGAATATTGACTGCTCTTGTATATTGGACTTGCTAATGGCAGTTCCTGGGCAGAGCACCCATGCTGTGTTTAGGTTCTGTGGCATCTGAGTGACAAAAATAACTTCACTTGTTGGGTGTTCTAAAACTGCTAATCAGTTGGAGAAGTATGAAGTATTACAATGTTCAGTAGATATTTTCACTATTTTACTCCATGTGGTGAGGGCTTCTCTGAGTTGGCTGTTGCTTTTTCTTTTTTTTCCAGTCAGATCACTGAAGTTGATCTGTGGTGCATTTTAATATAAGCAGTCTTTGCTGAATCTGTCATCCATGCATATTGTAACTTCATTACAAAGCTAAAGTATCTGCAATCTACCTGAGTTCATGGCAGGCTAAAACAGTCTTCTCGAGGTCATTTGCCAGTGTGATGACAAAAAAAAAAAAAAAAAAAAAAAAAAAAACCAACCCGAACACACAAAACAAAAAAACCCACAACCAACACCACCAGTTAACCTTTATCAAGGTTATTTGCCTTTATTGCCAGGTAACAGCCCAAAATAAGCCACTGAGGGAAGTGGTACTTTGCCTCCAAACCACTGAGAATGTCCCTGCTACAAGGGCAGGTGTTTAACTGAAGAGCAATGATGCGTGATAGACCCTTCACGCATTTTTCTTATTTGTAGGCCACTTACCAGAAGTTGCTGCCTCTGTATTTTCCAAGATCATTGGAAGAAGAGATACAATCCTTGCCTTACCTCCCTGCAGATATTGGCAATGCGGAAGGAGAGCCTGTAGTACCAGAGCGGCAGATCAGGATTACTGAAAAGCCGGGTGTTCCAGATGGTGAGTTCTTAACTGAACTTTGGAATAAGTATCTCTGTGTGAAAGTCAATGGAAAAACAGAAAAGGCACATGGGAAGCAAAGAGATGTTTTCCTACCTCACCAAAAGCAAGCTATAATGAAGACAGTTGTCAAACTGCTTCATTGGCTTCATGTGTTCCACAGCAGTAACTTCTGCTTTCTGCCTCACTGTGTAGAGTGCTGTGGTTAGAGGATGCAGTAGAGCTGTTGTTCTGTCTTCCTGTTGCGGGGAGAGGTGGAGTAGTTCATTCCCTTTGCAAATTTTCTCCCAAAACGATTAGGACCTTTGCAGGCTTTCTGCAGAATCTTGTGCAGCCCCTAACTTCAAAGGGCATTATTGTTAACAGTCTATCTTATATATTAGTAAAGTGTTGCTTGTATATTAGCAAATGTTGTCTCATAAGTTTCTGTTGATACAGCATGTATATCAAACTAGTAGATGCTCAATGAAAACTAGCAGAAACTCCCTAAAAGATAGAACTAGGTCAATCCAGAGATCGGTGTTTGGGAAATGACTGTCAAAGCTTAGTGAAAGAAGTCTGTTTGTAGGATGATGAGGCAATATGTATGGCAAAACAATTTAATATATAAATGGACATAGCTGACACGTTCTGCCTTATTTATTAAGCAGTGCTGTGAAAGTTATACACTTCTTCATGTGAAGCCTTAAACCATCAAAAGCGGGTAATTTGGAGTGGGTTTCAAAGGCTTTCTACTATTGCATGGCCAGTGGGTATAAGACTGAATATGCAATGAGAATACAGACAATTTAATTTTCCTGTTCTCTGATAGCTGATGTACCTGCTCCTGGTGATCAGACTCCAATCTTTTTTTCCCCACCCTGCCCAAACTGCTGATTAGAGCAGTATTTGCAGCTGTGGCTGATCAGGGTGAGACATTCAACCCCTAGCTAATAATTTGTGAAATTGCTGGTTTTGCCTATATAGGAGCAAATGGGTATAGCAGAATCCTGCACTTCAGTCCCATTGCTACTATGGCACGTCACACTAGGACTGGGAAAATCCGTTCTCATCCAGATGACCCAGAGAGGTAGTGCTAGAAGCCTTAGCAATATTGTTCGATGACATCAAATTCAGTAGATCTTTCTGGAATTGTCACCAGCAAGCAAGCCTGTGCTCTTGTATGTCATCACACAGTCATGTTGTAAACAATGCTATAAAAATATCTAAACTCAGTTTACTGCCAGCTCTACAGCATCTGTTCAGGCAGTGTCAATGATACAAAAAGAAGTGACCCCTTTCTACAGTATAGCTTCTAAACTGAATAAAACTGCAGCATCTGTCCCTCTGCATACTTACTTTTTTCCCCCTGCGACAAGTAGGACAACTGTAAAGCCCAAATCACTCTCTCCAGACCTTGCTTTTTGAGAGAGTTAACTGCTATGCCTTTGTTGCAAGCTGATGACTAGGACTTTCCCAGTTAGTTTCCAGGCAAAGCAACATCTTAAGGGAGTCTAAAGTTATCAATCACATGCTATAATTGATCAGTGGTACTGGTGAGATACCAGAGCCACATCATTGGTACATTGTTATTTTTGTGCTAGTTTGTAGCATGAGAACTGGGTTGGCTCACTGAGATACACAGAAATTAATCAGCAGCATTGCAGTCTTGTACGCTTGAACAATTTACACGTCCTTTGTTTCTACTGCAGATGCTTCAGATGAAGAGGGTCTGGAGGCAGATTTATCTTTCATTGGTTCCCATGCTTTTGCCCGCATGGAGGGAGATGTTGATAAACAGAGACGCCTCATCCTTCAGGGACAGTTGTCAGAGGCAGCACTGCAAAAACAGCATCAGAGGAAGTGAGAATTTCCTTGTCTATTTGAATGTTTTATGTTAGCTGTTCATAGGACCAACCCTTGTGATGCTTTTTGTTATCTGTAAAGCCTAATCTTCTGGCAAGGAAATACAGGTGAAGCCTACTGTCACCCTGGATCACTGTGGTAGCCTCTTTGGCCTGAAGGGAGAAGGGGAGGGTCAGTAAGAGGAAAAGAGAAGCTAGTGATGAACCCACTAGCATACTCATTGCCTCCGAGCAGCTGCCTTATCTCTTTGCCACAAGATGTCACTGTCTTGTCACCACTTTTTGTAGTGAGGTCACTTGCTTTCAATACTGCCTGCTCGTTCCTGAGACTCTGGGCAGACAGCAAAACATTTTTCTTCCATCTTTCAAAACAAAGACAAATAAATGAATACTGAGGCTTTTTTCCTCACCCTCCTCCCCCCCCAGAGTCCTCTTGAGGCATGTTGTTTGGCTTGTCTTGTCTGATGAGGCACTAAGTTGTTTGTTGTTCAGTGGGGAGGGAAAAAAATCCATATGTGACACTAGTTGGTGCATGGTTGTGTTTGACTTACAGACTTTTTAAAGAAAATTTTTTTTCCCTATTATTTAAACACTGACATAGAGGTATTTAAATGGAAAAAAAACCCTCTGCATTTGGGCTGAAAAGATCTCAATGCCACTAGTTGCTAGTTGGTGCCTATTCATTGCCCTAGTGAAAATCACTAGGTATGTAACTAAGACACTCAAATTTTTTTTTTTTTTTTTTCACCCAACACTTCTTTCTTCAACAACTTGATTGTTGATCCATGGGTCAGAAAACCTCAACAATAGAGAGAGGACTCAGTTAGAAAGAGCTTGTTTTGTCCTTCCCTTCTCAGGCTTCTAGTGCTAATCCAAAGTGGAATTAGATCTGACCAGATGTTTCTAACTTTCTAGTTATAATCGCTGGCTGTGTCAAGCAAGAGCTGAAGACCTTTCTGATATTGCCTCTCTTAAAGCCTTGTACCAGACAGGTAAGTTCAGGATACTGATGACTGATGTCTTAAAGTAAAAATACAAAATAAAAATGTAATACTTTCTTTGGACTTGAGTAGACAATAAGTCATGTTATTAAGCCAGAAGCCTGGTAAAGGACTAGGCAACATCTCTGCAGTAAAGCAGGAATTCTCTCTTAACTGGCTTCGAAAGAATGTGTGGTAAACTCTGGAACTGCTCTGCGTTAACAATCTGAGGATACATGCATATCCTGATTTATCTGTAGTTTTAGATGTAAATCAGTAATTAAGCCAATGCATAAGGTGCTCTGTATGAGAGTAGTAGTTCCGATCTGAATTATTTCCACCCTTTTGTTACAAATAAATTAATGTTGCTTTCAGATGATTAGTGTACAGAATAAGCAGTTACCAACGCAACTTTTAATATAGCTTTCCTGAACGAAATGGCTTGCTTTATTTCCCTCGGGATAGGTTTGTGTCGCTCTCCTCTGTATGTGTCTCCTAGTACTAATGGCTGAATACCATGGGCATCACATCTTGCAACCTTGAGTTCAGTAGATGGGGTGACTAGGGAGAGAACAACCCAATGGCGAGTTCGGTGGAAGGTAATAGCTGTGACATCCTTGCAGCCTGGGAAGCAGAGATTAGAAACCTGTACTCTTCGGTTCTCTTTGACTCTTTAGGTAGCAGCACACTCAAGCGTACAAACTTGCCGTAGTCCCAGTGGCTTATGGCTGCTTTGCACTGTGACAGGAAGAAACAGGCAGGTAGTCAGGGTCTCAAGCATCGCTGTGTTTCTGCAGAGAAACTCTTTTCAGTGCTTTAGCTGATATTTTGGCCTCCTGAAAATCCAGATACTTACCTTGGTCTTTGTGCAAAGACCAAGGTTGTGTGATACCTTCTACTCAGTAGCTGCAATTTTAAATTCTTTTGTTTGCCTTAGACAAGGTGCTGTGGGCTGCAGGAGGTCCATAAGGCCTGCTCTGGGAATCTGTGCATTAGATTTCCAAACCTGGTATCTAGGAAGAAGCTTGTTTTGATGGTAGAACTGCAAGTGAAGGGCTTTTTTAATAAAAAACACATTATTGCTTGAGATTTAGGTAAATGTGGAGTACACAGGCAACATGAAATTGCAGTCCTTAAGTCTTAAGTTTTTTGAATGCGGTGCGCCCTTTTTGGGACCAGAATAGCTACTGGTATGAGAACAGTAACTCTAAGCACATTTCCTCTGTTAAGATGGAAACTAGGTGTATTGCAAAGATTCTGAGCTCTGTGGCTGGTTCTCCCTGGTGTGAAAAGGACTGACTCCAAAACGTGGCATGACTGAGAGAAGTTGAGAGACCTATTTTTCTTCTAGGTGTAGATAACTGTGGCCGCACAGTGATGGTGGTGGTTGGAAGGAATATCCCCGTAACATTGATAGACATGGAAAAGGTAAGGCTTTGTAAAACTTGAGTTGTGTAGGTTGAATATGAATGTTCAGGATGTAAGAGTAAGAATAATTCAGTGTTAATACTAGAAACATTATGTATAGAAGACTTTAATCTCTTTTAAGATAAAAGCGTATTCCCTTATAAAGCTTCATGTGTGTTGGGGTGGCTTTGTTCAAGGAGGAACAGGACTATTTTTAGGAAAACAGGCCTAACATGGACTCCTTTTTCTCAAGAAGAAAGAGACTTGCCCTGCTTCTATAACTGCCAAGACATGAAGAGTGTGATGTAACAAGTCAAATTTGGTTTTTCATGGAAACATCAAGAATTTCTCTCCATCTGAGAGGTCAGCTAGACAAAAAAGACATCAAAGTTACTACAGTCAAATTGAAGACTTAGAATGTTCACTTGGCTTTTGTAGCCGAACCATAATGCCACCCAGCCTCATAACTCCTGATTTGTGAATGAATCAAAGGAAGCATATTATGATATAATGCAACTGTGAAAGAGTTCTTTGCAAATACGAATTTCATTTATTTCTGTCTCAGGCTCTTCTGTATTTCATTCACGTCATGGATCATATTGCAGTGAAAGAATATGTCCTGGTGTACTTCCATACGCTCACAAATGATTACAATCAACTAGACTCTAATTTCTTGAAGAAACTCTATGATGTTGTTGATGCCAAGTGAGTGTCAATAGGAGAACACCACCTTTTGGTCTTCCTCTGTGCTACGCAAGTGTTTGTCATTTCCTGTATCTGGTTTCTCATTTATTTGTGAGTATTGCTGGGACAAAGACCTAAATAAATAACAAAGGCAAGAGGAAGGAAGATATGTTTTCTTTCCTTCTCAAGACCACCTATTAAACCAGGAAGTTCTGTACTCTGCAGTCTCCCTTCTGGAGCTGTTAGAGAGTCATACTGAGTATATTGCCTGTCTGCATCCAGACGTGGAGCTTCTGGAGCCTGGCGTCATTAAAAGTATATTGCTAGCTATGAGGGAAGAGTCTTGGGTAACGTTGGCTGTCGTAATTAGTCCGTAACTTCACTGTCCACATAATACTGCAGGATATCGTGTCTTTACCTGAAAAATAATTATTCTGGGGGTTTGGGGCTTTTTTTTTTTCCCTTTTACATTTACTTTTCTGATATTTGGCCTTTTATTAGATCTAACTTTGTAAAATTGCATCATGAGCACATAAGCAAAATGATCTATGTCTTGACAGTCAGGTTGTGTAATTAGAAGTCGCTTTCAAAGACCTTTTTTTCTTTCTCTAAACCAGGTATAAGAGGAACTTGAAGGCACTGTATTTTGTCCACCCAACATTTCGTTCAAAGGTGAGGTAAATAGTACAAAAGAAAAGTGTATTTGGGTGTTGGCAGAGTAGCATGCAAGACTGTAGCATAAGGAACAGAGGTATATAGAAGACTTCCAAAATCAGGCAGTACCTTCTGAATCATCCACGGTCAGAACTTGAAATTCGTCCCCATCTTTGATCTAGATGTAGTCTTCCAACCTTAGTGATAAGCTGAACCCCAGTGCAGTGCAGCTGTCTGCCCTGGTTTGTGTGTGCTCTTAACAGAGAGAGGTGGAAGCTTTGAATCTTTTTCTTTCAAAGGGAAACATTTTGTCCTTTTTCCTGCTGTCTGGTTGGTATGATGATGAACCATGACCAAAAACTCTGGGAATTCCTTTTTTGTGTAGTTCACTTCCTGGATGTTTCACCTTTTCTTTCCCCACAAGGGTTATTGATTGGGTGCTGCATATCACCTCAGAGCTCTCCTGGTTAAGGACAGAGGGCAGTGTGTCAAGCAGCAATAAAATTAGTCAGTATTATGGAGTATAGACTAGCAAAGAAAGAGGGGAAGAATGCCCTTGTGATGGAGTGCAGAAAAATCCTGTTAAGTCTTCAGGAGATGAAAAACTGTAAGTATCAAGCAGTAAGATGATATCCTTGGCTATGATCTGTGTGCAGCAACAGAAGATGGAGCTCACTCCCTTCTGTACTTCATACACCCTACTCATAATGCAGCAGTATGAGTACTTCAGATGAACTAAGTGTCAGCAGCAGCCCTTCCTAAAATTTCTGTTTATCCTATTAAAACAGTTAGAAATATGATCTTTCATCTTCACATCAGATTAACCTCTGTGTTTATTCTGCTTTTTGCTGACATTGATCAAATTTGAGAAAATTACACGCCTGGAAAAAAACATCTGTTTGCACATGTTCAGCACGAATTTCTTTGACTGCTAAATTTCCAGAGTCCTTTCTTCGCATGTGCACAGCTGGGACACCATGAGACTTAGAGCTTCCTTGTTTTTATGTGGATGAGACTGAGGCTTCCCAACAGCATACCTTCCAGTTTCTGTCAGGATATTAATTACTCCCACAGGGTACAGAACTGAGGTCTGAATGCTAGAACTAGAGCTTCCAGCTCTGATGCTTCTGAAAAAGTAGGATCTGGTATAGAATGTTATTAAGGTCAAAAAGTTGAGTGGAAAAGTTGAAGCTAGGAAGTACTAGTGTTTCAGATTCTCAGCAGTACTTTATCCGCCTCCTCTCTTCCTATGCATTTCTATTTGGTTGAGAAACATTTGTTTTGTTGGAGGAGGAGAACTTGTGTTCACCAGTCTTATAGCCATGTTCTCTATCCCTTTGGAAACTGCAGTGGGGCAAGCAGATAGTTGGTGGGGAGCAGGGAGGGTGAGAAACAGAGTTCTCTAACTTACAAACCAATTCCATTTCCAGTATCCTGTTCTAGCAGCACAGCTGGAGTCAAAAGAGGATGCGTGCGTGTCCATGTCTTTCTGCCAAGCCTTTTCTCTAACTGAAAGGCAAGTGGGATTGCCGCTGGCTGTTGTGGAGACTATCAGTTTATGAAGCGTGGTGGGGAATATGCAGCAGAAGGTAGTGGTGAAGGTGGCTGCTAAGAGGGAATGGTTTTGCTCTCCCCTCCTCTTTTGGCTGTTTCAGGGCTGTTGGTCCCCATGGCAGATTGCTAGCTCAGAAGCCTCAAATATGTTCAAAAATGTTTGGCACATTCATCTCCCTATTTGGACCACTGACTTTCTTCCCTAGAAGTAGTGGAAAATACCCCATGTCTCAAATGCAGGAGGAAAGCTTGTGCATTCATGCAGCTTCCCAAATACATTACCCTTGTACATATATCATTCTTAAATCTCTGATATAAATGGTCTGGTTTACAGCAGTATTGAATCCTGGCACAGTGGATGACTGCCATCTGTTAAGAGCTGTTTTGTGTATTTCTAACCTAAAAGGGATCAAGGGGCTTTTCATCATGTCTCTTGGAAACTCGTATGCTCCTAGAAAACAAGCATAGTTCTCCATGTACTTTATGGTGCCAGCCATGATTCTTTGTTTGGTTTCTAGATACAAAACTGTTTTAAATTATGTATATTCTGAGGATAATTGCCTGTCTAGAATACACGGGGTTTGTTACACAGGGAGGAGTGTTCAGCAGTTATCCTAAAACACAGAGTAACTGAAGCAGGGTGTGTCACTGCACAATCCATTTTTCTACGCTCATCCTGCCTTTATTCATGCTTTGATGTGAGCATTCTTGTGATCTGTGAAGAACTTGATTCTTTGTGCTGCCGAAATGTAACCATTCCTGTGATGCAGTCGCAGCATGGGCAACAGCTGGGGTTCAGGCTGGCAGCCACTCTTGCTGTGTAAATGCTTCACCACCAGGCCTTAGATTAAGATACCCTTGAAGTGCTCTCACAAGTTCCTTCATACTCTTGCATGTAAATATACTCGTGCTTGATATTGCTATAGCTGCTAATATATAAATGAAGGGTTCTTTGGGGTGTTTTTGTGTGAATCCTCTTGGCTTCCCTCTTCTAAGGTCTCTCAAAATTAAGCTTTTTAGAGCTTGTTCTGAGTTGATGAAGCATCGGTGACTGGATCTGAAACAATCTCACCCAGAGAAATTATGTTTTGATAAATTTAGTAACTTGACTGTGAGTCAGAATGTTTCAAAACTGAAACATACCTGAATACTCAAATTAGATACTCCAAGTCATCATAATCTTTTTATTTATCATGAACAATTCTTGTATTGTTTCTCTGTAGCAGTCCTAAAAGCAGTTTCTGGAGATCAAATGCCAATATAAAGGTTGTTGCAAATCACTTACGGCTTTTTCTACACAAGATCCTTCCAACTGTAATAAAATTTCCCAGATTTTATTAAGTTTCTCTTTAGGGTATGACACAATTAAGACATTGGTGACACAGTTTATCTGTGTTGTGCTGTTTTTTTGAAGGAAAGATACTTCAACCCTGTGGTTTTCTAGCTTGTCAAAGTGACTTTGATAGCCTTTTATTCAGGTTCAAAACTGCAGGACAAGAAAATGAAGGACTTCAGCAGATGACTAGATTTTTAACTTTTCTTGACTGTTCTAATATAACTTATTCTGCTTTCAATGCATTAAGAGGCATTTGGTTAAATTTAAAGTTCTATGACCTCTTACTGATAAGGAAATGGCTGCTCTCATTATTGTTTCTATAACCTGTGACTACTGAGAACAAAGATTCCAGAGAATTTTTCTATTAACATTTGTGTTCCCATCCCTTTTTTCTGTGTTAGTGGGTAAGATGTGTCAAACTGCAGTGGTTTGTATACTGAGAGGAGCGGAGTGGGGGGAAAAAATCTCTTTTCCCAATATCAGTTTTTCTGATGGCTGCAAAAATATTTCCTATTAGGCTTTTATACATTAAACTTCCATAGTAATTATGTTTAATGATTTTCATTTATAATGCGCCTTAGAATGCATGCTACTTTGGTACAGGATTGAGAGGGTATTTTTCACTCATTAAACTGTCATCCCATGTCACTCATAAGAGGTGCTGGTAGAAAAATATAGTAAATAATGGATGTGAGTAATAATGTCTCCCTGCTTTCTGCTAATTCTGCTCTTAAAATAATTAACAGATCTTAAATGTTCTGTCCTGTTCTTTATCTCCTTTTCTCTTTTATTTTTACTTTCTCATGGAAACATGCTGTTTTGAGAAGGCATAGTTATTCCAGGACAGCTTTTAGGCATCGACTTTTTTCTTTAAATGTTGTATTCAGGGAGATCATTTTTATTGACCTAATGTTTTAGTTTATTTGAAACTCCCACTCAAGGCTTTTCTTGTGGTGTTGCTTCTTTTCTGCTAACTTACTGCAGTCAAAGCACAACTATCAAACAGAATCACAGAAAAGTCAAGTTTGGAAAGGACCTCTAGAGGTCATCTGGTCCAGCCCCCCTGCTCAAGCAGAGTCAGCAAGAGCTGGTTGCCCAGGACCATGTGAGTGGTCCCTAATTTGTGACCTCTAAAGCAGTTGTTTTCTTTCCCTTCAGTCTGCCAGAGAAAGACTAGGTAAAAAATAGACAAAAAGTAATGTGCTTAATTTTGGAGAAGGTGGGTTGAGAAGTAAAACCCTGTGTAGTCAATCTAAACAGGAATATTTAATAACTTGTAGAAGTATCAATGGTGTCTTACTGGCCTTTGCAAAACAAAAATTCCATATTCAGTTTACATCCAAAAGAGTCAGCACATGAATGTTTAAAGTCAAATCTTGTGGAATAAGTTGATAAGGCTTTGATAAGAAATGTGGCGAAACAGAAGGGTGCATCCACTCAGTCAAGCTGAAGCAGAGAGATTTCAGTAGGACCTCTGAACAGCTGAAAGTCTTTCTCTCCCTCAAATTGCCTTTTCTGTGAAAACTTGAAGGCAAAGGGTTGAAAATGCTTCTGTCGGATACAGAGTCAAATAGGTCCTAGACTGAGCTGGCAAAACTGGAAGTGAAAACGTGCCACTATACCGATGTTTTTTTGAAGATGAATAGCTGTCACTCTTGTACAGTAGAAAGGGACCTTAAACTGGTAGCTGGGGAGAAGTGAGTGTGGAGTCAGAAAACACTAGCTTGAAAGCTCTCAAGACAGTGCTTCCTAGCAGGCAGTGGTGTGTACTTCCTGAGCCAGTTGTGTTATTGCTGTGATACTAGTGTTTCAAGTTTAACTCAAGCCTGTTTAACTACGGAGCAACATGTTGAACTTCAAGGTTTTGAAACGGCACCATCTTAATATTGTTTTTGTTGGGGTTTATTTTTAGGTTTCGGCATGGTTTTTCACAACCTTTACAGTCTCAGGGCTAAAGGACAAAATCCACTATGTGGAAAGCCTTCAGCAGTTATTCACAGCCATACCCCCAGAACAAATTGATCTCCCCCCTTTCGTCCTCGAGTATGATGCCAGGGTAAGTGATTGCATGTGGCAAGCATGAGTCTTTGCTCCAAAGTGTAGTTCTTGTGCTTCTCCCATTCTAATCTGCAAGCTCTAAAGGGGCTGACTTCCACATCTTAAGAACGGGGAGAAGGAAGGGAAAGTTCCTGGAGAAAGTAGTTGTTCTGTGAGTAACGATCTTCTTATTTTTTTTTTTTTTCTACATCAGTCCAAGTAGAGGGCTTGGCTAAGAAGCAGACTCCTTTCCCAACAGAGCACTTTCCTATGTGCATAAAAGGCAGACTATCTTTCTTCAGCCAATAACTGTAACATAACGCACTGAGCCTGTGGACAAGATAAATTTTATGTTGCATACTTGCTGTATACCTTACACTGACTGCAAAAAGAAATACTGTCTGTGTTTCATTTTCATTGTCCCACGTATCAACAGCCACTCAGGAAGTGGGGGAGGCAGGAGGGGAGCAGTGGGGAAAAATGTAACTGTAGGAGGATGCTTTGCCATTGTGTTGGTCCCTCCTCTTCCCTTCTCCATCCCAGGGATCGAACCAAATGGTGGAATGAATCCGGCTTGCATTGGCCAATTCACTCTGCAGAGGATGTGCCGTAACTACCCAGTAGTATCCAGAGCTGTGTGTCTGTGTAAGCAATTCTGTCTTGAGTGCCTGGCTATGCTGACATTTGTGGCTTCCTTGCATCACAGCTTTGGCGTAGTGGCAAAATTTTAACCTGCACTTTTTGTTTAAAACAGAGACAAAACCAAGGCCTGTTTTTGCCTGATTACCAGCACTTTCCTCTCCTGGGTGAATTGTGGCAGTCACTGTACTTGTGGAAGACGAAGCCAGGAGTACCTGTTTATTTCTGCCTCTGTGGCATCATCTGTTGCACCAAGATGCATTGGAGAGAACTTCTGTTCAACTACTCATTCTGTTCTTATTGCAGGAAAATGGGCCTTACTATTCTTCTTATCCTCCATCCCCTGACTTGTGATCTGCTGTCCTGCCAATGCTGCTGGTTTCCCATGGATCCAATGACCTGATGCCTGCCAAAACCTGTGCATTTGTCCATGTACAGAATTCAGAGAGAGGGTTTTCCTCCCCCAGCTCTGGTATTTTTTTACTGATGTGATATTTTCAAGCACTCAAGCAATCAGAGAACTTTATGCCACTGTGAACTGTACAACTATTTCAAATATATTTATCCAATGGAAAAGTTGATTTAAAGATCACTAGGTGCATTTTTTTTTATTTGAAGTGGTTACATTTATTTCTGAACAGACTTTCTCTTTTCTGGGAAATCCATCAGAAGCACTTGATCATGTTTTAAACTACTACCATTTTCCAGCTTCGTTTGTAATACCCGTTTCTGACTGGTCTGTACAAATATTGTGCAGTACCAGCCTGACACATTGCTCATCATAGGGTCTCTGTGTTTCAAATCTGATTACTTTGGTCTTGACCCAGCAAAACTATCTGGAATTGGGAATGCCATGTCTGCAGGCTGAACAAAGCACTACAGCCAAGCCAAGATTACTGCAAGACTTGGCTCACCTAGCATTTGTGGTGCTAGGAGCCTTGGTAAAGTCCCTGTCAGTTTTCATTGGATGATGTGACATGTCAGGATGCCACTACCCTCCCAGTAGGAATAAACTTGAAAAGCATTTGTGGTTTCTTTCCTCTAACTGTAGTTGTTGTTCTCCTTTGACATGGCCAGATGTGTTTGTATGATAAATGAATGCCATCTGCCTGAAGTATGTATGGAGGGGAGGCGGAAATGGTGACTCCAACGCCAACCTCTGGTGGAAAAGATTGTTTCTTAGAGATATCAGTGTCCCTTTTATCTGCTGTTACACTGACACTGGTTTTTGATAGACATGATATGTGTAATGGAGTTCAGCCACAGTGTACTTATGGATCTGGAGGTGAAAAGGGTTTTTTCAGCCTGCCAGTGGAAAGCTAGAGGAGGAAGGAGAAGACTCCCCTATAAAACATAATCAGGGATGGCAGTCCCAGATACAGAAGGATGAAATCCGTGATAGGAAGAATGTCACAATGTTACTGATTATGAAGGTGATGGTACAATTGTCATGTTTTCATTCTAGCTGATTCCCTGCCTTGACTCATATCTGCTACTTTGTCTTCACCAAACTTCAGTTTTCCTTGTTCTGCCACTTCTGCGGTATCTACCTTTTTTTAAGCATAAGCAAGAATCATTATGGGATACCTTAGAAGGTAGTTATTCATGTCTATTGAGTTGCTGGAAATAGATATCCTTTTCCTGCTTAAAGGTACTGTAAATTGTAGGGATAAACAGGAGAAGAGATCCTGTCTTGGTCATCTAATTGCATGTCACAATTTGTGTTTGCAGTCTGAGAGTTTGGGCTTTTGTCAGTTACGAGTGCAGTGAAAGATGGGCCATACTGAGTTTGCTTTCCTTCCTGCCTTGGCCTCCTGGCTTTGTGGTGGCTTATACTCCATGTATCCTCAGTGTGTTGGTATGTCAGTTACAGATTAAAATAATTACTTGGCAGGGGTTTAACAGTCACGCATATACAACATATAAAAAGCAAGTGGATTTGCTTCTCCAGGGTCCTTATGTGATTCCATTATCAGATCCAAGGTGCTGCTAAGAGCTGGAAACTGTAGCACGATGGAAAACCACGTTGGTGTTGAGATTTCGGGAGTGTGTTGCACCTGATGGTCAGTTCACATGTGATTCTTTCAGCACTTGTCTGGTGGGTTTTTTGAGAAGGAAATAGCAGCAGTCTATACAGAGCAGCTACCATGTGTCCCTACCTCCTCTTTTCACCTAGCTGTTTACAGCTGCCCTTGTCTAGTGACTTTTATAGCCAGCAATGAATTTTCCATGCTTCTCTAACAATTTGTATAGCTTTCCACCCCGATTAACCATCTGCTGTTTTTCACACCCATGGCATTTTCAGTGGGGCTGTTGCAGAATAGCCAGTGTCCACTTAATAGGCAGATTAAAGGTGATCCAGAACATACTGTGAAAACTGAACTCTCAGCTTCACAGTTTTTTAGATGGTTTCTGTCCCTTTAGCTCACAGATGGCTCAGAGTCATAAAGCCTAAACAGTTGTTCTTAGGACTCAGTCTGCACGTTTTTCAAACCCTAGTCCAGTCATTTTAAGAAATTACTTGGCTCAGTGAAGTGTGAATGTGCCTCCAGAGCATTTGTAAAGCAAAAAGGAGATCTTGGCACTGTGCACCTAATTGTGTATATTTTTTCCCTTGAAAGACTTTGCTTCATTTTTTTTTTTTTTTACCCAAGTCTCGCACATCTCAGTAGTAAGACAGACCTGCATTGTGCTGCAAAGATCCTGCATTTTCCAGTGAATCTGGAGTTGTAGCAATTTATCTTTTTTTTTTTTTTTTTTTTTAATGGAGACTTTTAAATGTAACATGCAGTGTAAAAAGCACGTTGAAGTGCTCAGGATATTCATTGCTATTATAATTTTAATTGTTTCATTCTAACATGTAAAAAAATTGCATTAAACCATCTGAACGCATTTGGTTTAAGACGAGATAAACACTGTCATGCCCTAGTTAAGGGTGGATACAATGCTTTCCTCTAGAAGTGTGCGTTTTAACACCCCTACCCAGTGCAGTCACTGCAGAATTAAAAGTTCCAGTGGAGGTTTTATTGCCTTGCTTAAAGCTGGTTCACACCATCTGCAGGCTCAGAAGGGGAGTCTTTGTAGAGAAATGTATTAGGGTCAATATGAGTGTTGTTGTTAATTACTCCTGTGTGATGTCGACAGAGTGATATTGTTGTAAGTAAAATTCAGATGTGGTGCTTAGGCACTGGCTCATTAGCAACACCTCTTCTGAAAGCATTCTCTGTTCCCTTGCTGACACTGCAATGACATGTCTTGAGCTGGGGTCTGCCATGCTGATGTCTGACCAGGGACAGGTGACTCAGAGTATCTTGGCTTGCCTGTTGTCATTGGGCCAAGCCAGAGTTTGAGGCAATTGTCGAGGCAGTGAAAGGAAAAGTATCTGGTGGTGGCTGCTTCTGTTGTGTTCTGTGCTTGTTTCTTAGCCTCGTGCTGTTGGGAGTAGGAAGTAGCAAAAAGTTGTGGGCAAAGTCAGAATGTCAGCTTTCTACAGGCCACTGAGGTGGTGTGAATTTGCCATGCACACCTGAAGCTGAGCTGCTGTTTGCCTGGGCTCTCCTGCTTACAGGATCCCAGAATGAAAACAGAACTACTGGTTTCCTCTGGCACCTTCTCTTCCCCAGCAGTAGCCTAAACCCCTGTGTTTCACACTCAATATGTCTCTTGCCTCAGCTTTGCTGAACGAGGCCTTCTCCCTAGCCTAGTCTGGCCCGAGCACTTCTGTGGCTGTAGTGCTGCAAAGGATTAGCATCCTGCCGCTGAGACCAGACACGCCATGTGAAATTAATTTAGATGGTTCTGCTATTCAACAAGCTGATACCAGCTCTTCTCCTTTGTCAAATTGGAAAACAAGAGCAAAAGGAGCTATCCCCTTTCCTTGGCCTCTCCAGGATGAATCTCCTGTTACATCTGTGACCAAGCAACTGCCTGAATAGGCCCAATCTGAAACTTGTTTACACCTCTAAGCATATTACAGAAATTCCTGAATAAGTCGATTCTGGCTAAATAGGAACTGATCCCAGTGACTTCTGTTAGCAGGTGCAGTCTTGGGAGAGTAAGGGAAGTGTTTCAGCTGTGTTTAGGGAAGAAGGTAAGAAGTAGTCTACCTGGAAGAACTCAGTTTGTGATCCTCCAGTTCCAAGGGGCACTAATACCGCTACCTAGTCTGTACTCCTAAGGCAGCTGGCCCACGGGATTTTCTTCAGTCTCCCATGGGAAAGGAATAGGTCCTGAGTTGGAGGGATAAATGCCTGAGTACACAGACCAGCAACACACAGTGTCTGCACTAGGCTAAGATGAGGAGTTGGATGAGCCAAAGCAGCCCCACTGGAGCAGCAAGAGGCATACAGACCTGCTGCAAGGTGGTGGCTCCTTCTAACGCTGAATGAAAGGTGTTTTGAGCCTCACTATTGTGATACAGAGCCCTCTTGGCTCATATGTTTAAAGGCAAGCATGTGGGGTGGTGGGGAGGGTGTTTCTCCTCTGGTCCCAGAGTCAATGCAGCTCCTCCAGGAGCAGGTGAGGAAAGTGCTGTGTAAACATTAAGGGCTGAAGTGCTACAGCCCCAGGCCCTCTGCAGCATGGCCTCTGCCTCCTCTGAATGCCAGGTGGGTTTCTGATAAGCAGGCAACTTCTTGACTGTACAATCCCTCTAAAATACTTTAAATGGCAAAACCATTCACAACATGTATAACTGAAAAAATGCCAAATTCCTAATGCAATTTAGACATAGCTAGGGGGGAGGTGGCTTTGCTTGGAAGGACATTATGTACAAAAATGAGGGGGAGGGGGTTGTATCAGATGACCCACAGCAGCCTGGCTGCCAGGACAGCATCTGGTTTTAATTGGCTAATCAGATCCTGTTTGAAGCCTTTCTCAGCTGTGCTGCCCTTGAAAACCAGATTCCTCTTCCAGATGAGGCAGGACTGCTTGCAATTACAGTGTGGTTAGCACAAGAGCAGCAAAACTCAAAATGTTATCGTGTGCTCAACACTTTCACCAAAATGTTACGAGGAGAAGCCCTTACTCCAGGGAAGATGTGGGCAGCAGAACCCCTTCTTCATTCCTGCTGTCTACTGGAGGAGTTTATTTTCCCCTTTTTTGGAGGTAGGGAGGAAGGTTGCTAAATGCCCACCCCTGTGCTGTGGAAGGACTAGCCTGAGGCATTGAGCAATAGTTCTGTGTCCTCCTCCAACACTGATGCTTCTGGGTGGAACTGGTTTTAGGAATGAGATCTGGCTTTGTAGCCAGGGAGTCAGTAATGGCACGAGTAGCCTGAGCCAGGTCCTGGGGAGATGGTCTGGAGTGACTGTACCTGGGCTAGAGACCCAAGCCAGCGTACACACCAAATCTGCATTGTGTCTGCCTTAGACAGTGTGGTCCTGGCTCGTCTCCGGCTGGTACCTGCAGGGGAATTGCTATCTGCATATGTGATTTTCAGATCACCCATTAAGGAAGATGTGGGAAAATGTGTTGGGCTTAATAAGGCCCTGTAGCTCACTGAGAACTGACATGAATAGCAAGCACTCAGAAGAAAGGCTCAGCATCATCATTTTGCTCTCACTGCATTGTTGTGGGTTCTTTTCAGAAAGCATATGCCATTTTTTAAGTAATTGATAAGGCGAATGAGTGATTTAATCATTGACCTTTTAATGAAGCCCTGGAGTGATATATTCAGTACCTCTGCTGGGGCCAATTGCGTGGCCTGTTGCAGAGCAGTAGATGTCCTGGGTTTTTCTGATAAAGACCTGTGTGCCTGGTACCCTCAGGAAAGGGGCTCGGGGGCATAACTGGGGAGTGCTTTGGGTAGGAAGGTCTTCATGGTTACAGTAAACCTGAGCTACTCCCCGAGCTGCAGTTCTTACCTAGCGTGTGGATATACCTTCTGCTGTGTGATCAGTGCAAGTGGCCTTCTGCTTGAAGAAAGAAGGGGGTGGAGGTGAAGTTTCAGACATGGCTATAATGCTAAGTAGAGCTACTTTATCAATAGGATCATTCACAATTGAGTCTTGTTTGTAGGACTGCTTAGGTTTCAACCAACACTAA